CGCTGCACCAAGAACTACTGAAGGAAACGACACAAAAACCTCTGAAGAAGAACTTCTTCTTCTCCTTCTGGAAATAAAAACAAAAATGGAGTGGCATCAAATTTTAGCGATTTTAGGATTTCTGTTTTGTCATTTTTCAACAATGGACTCAGTATGAGTGGAAGATGAGGCAGAAGACCATGGAGAATGGAAATGTTGTTTTTCACACAAGGCGGCTGACAGCTTCGTATGAGGTATGAGAAATGCGAGTTTGTTTGCCCTGCACTGTAGTCCATCTCCTGCTTTTGGAGTGGTCTCGATTCCGCTTGCATTCACACTGCATTCAAACGACGCTGCAGTTCACTTCAACCGAACTGAGACCTAGGTATTTAGGCGGGTCAGGGTTTGCTTTTTTGGTTCGCATCAGAGTTCGATTGCGCATTCACACCTCCCCAAACAAACCGGACTTTCTAGGCAAACGGACTAGAGTTTGATTAAAGCGGAATAAACAGAGCTGGTGTGAATGCACCCTAAAAACCTCGAGACAGTGATCCACGCCTTCATAACATCTAGGCTTGATTACTGCAATTCACTTCTGTTTGGAATCAGTCAGTCCTCCATTGCTCGTCTACAACTGGTCCAAAATGCTGCAGCCCGATTTTTAACTGGTACAGGCTATAGAGAGCACATCACGCCAGTTTTGGCCTCCCTGCACTGGCTACCCATTCACCTTCGGATCCATTTCAAAATTCTCATGTATGTTTTTAAATCACTGAACAGTTCCGCCCCATCCTATCTCACTGATCTTCTGCAGCCATATGTCCCACCGCGCTCTCTGAGGTCAGCAGACCAGATGCTTCTCTCAGTCCCAGAAACCCGTCGTAAGCTCAGAGGTGACAGGGCTTTCTCTGTTGCAGGTCCACGACTGTGGAATGAGTTGCCACTGAGTGTCCGGCAGGCTCCCACACTCTCAGTCTTTAAGTCTCGCTTGAAGACCCACTTCTATTCGCTTGCCTTTAACACGGTGTGATTTGTTTTGGTCCGGTCTGTTCTCTACTCTGTTGGCCATTTTAGTTAGCTTCTGCTGCTATTTGTACCTGTATTTCTATTTTATGTTTTCCTGTCTGCTGTGCATGTTTGGTTCTTTTGTACAGCACTTTGGTTGGCCTTGTTGCTGTTTTAAGTGCTATATAAATAAATTGGTATGGTATGGTATGGTAAAAAATGATTAACTACACGCACACATAAAACATTTCATTTGACTCCAAAAACTTTACATAATCCATCAAGAAGCCATTTAGTTTAGTTGTACTAACTAGTATTGAGCCACATTAGGAAACCTACCTGTGTCCGGCACGGTAGTCCTTAATGGACTGCTGCCTCGGTCCGTTAACTGTTGGATCTCCTCCAGCCTGGACCCCATGTCCTGAAGGGGTCCTGCCTAGAGAGGCTGCATGTCGACCTGCTGCAGCTCCAGCAGCTCCTGGGGGCTGATTAGCTGGCCTAAGGCCTCGATCTAGTGACTGAGTCTGGGCTGCATTGAGATGGTCCCTGGCATGGTGGTCAGCAGGGTGGACAGTGCTGGAGGCCTGGGCAGAGGGGTGGTTGGGACTTGCTGGGTAGGAGTCAGATGCCATTGACCTTTTGGATGGATATTGAGAGAGTGGGGCAAAGGTGTAAGTTTAGCTCAAAGTAACACTGAATTCTTTAAGGAAAGACCAATAAAGCTAAAAGCATTAAAAAATATGCATGTACTGATTTAATCATTAAAATAAGTCAGGCTGACACCATCTATGTTGATTACATCTCAGATAACAGCCGTGCAGTTTCACTTTCTGTTCTTTGTACCATTCTGCTTCACTTTTAACATTTCCTCAACAGTTTGATGTTTTCTCACACATAAGCTTTCAGGGAAAACTGCTATAGTCCACATTCTTTTATGAGCTCTGAGTTCAATTTTCCAGAAGAGGGCAGCACAGAACTTTAAATATTATATTGTGAAATTCAAATACTTCACAGCATTTAAGTGCAACTAAACCTGTACACAGTGATAGGCAATAAAGAATCAGGTTGAAGAACACCTAACATGTAAAGCAGGGGTGCCCAGAGTTTTTCAGCATGCAAGCTACTTTTAAAATGACCAAGTCAAAGTGATCTACCTACTATAAGACCCCGTTTACACAAGAACAACCTCTGGAAACATTAGTGTTTTTCAATGTTTATTCGGAGTAATAAACAAAAAATGAGCGTGTTTACACGAAAACGCTGTAGTTTCCATTTCAGTCGGGTTGCCAGATAAGAAATTATGAACTATAGCATTGTTGTTTTAAAATTATATATATATTTTTTAATCTAAACTGTCATATGTGTTGAGTAAAATATTCTATGATAAGGCATGTGTTGCCGGAAGGAGGCCCAGGGGAAGACCCAGGACACGCTGGAGGGACTACGTTTCTCGGCTGGCCTGGGAACGCCTCGGGATTCCCCCGGAAGAGCTGGCCCAAGTGGCTGGGGAGAGGGAAGTCTGGGCCTCCCTACTTAGGCTGCTACCCCCGCGACCCGACCCCGGATAAGCAGAAGAAAATGGATGGATGGATGGATGGATGGAAGGCATGTGTTGCATTTGCTGAACATGTGCACAGAAAAGGAGGGGATAAATAAACATTTTGCATTTATCTGGCAACCCTCATTGTGCATGCAGCATTTGCATGATCACATTTATCTAAACTGTTGTATACAATAACATCTCTTTGGACCCAGGATGTTGTTGGTTTTGTTCCTACATGCTGAAAAAGGGTGAGTATCACAAAAACACTCTGCTCTCTGCCATTTATTATAACTGTTGTTAGTGCAGAAAAACTGGACTGCAGCCGCCTGTAGTGCACATGTGCCACTTCAAATTTTCGAGCATGTCACACCTCTGTGGGGGGTTCCCCCCGAAAATCTCCACTCTGAGACCTGGGTTCGAAAACCTCTGGATTCAGAGAGAGTGGGGGCTGGTGCCGTGTAAATGAACGGCCGAACAGTCACAGAAAGGCTGCTGTTTCACGTCGTGTAAACGGGGCTTCAGACTGGCTGCCCGATAGAAAAATCAAGTAACAAATTTCATAGTTTATGTTTTTAATGCCATGTGATCTACTCAAATGACCTCTGCGATCAATGCATTGGACACCTCTGCTGTAAATAATTAGTTGTGTGTGTATGTGTGTGTGTGTGTACCTGCTATCTGGGGATAGGGAACCTTCAGAGGACATGCCATGGTAAGGGGAGGGGGTGAGCCTGGCATCTGGTCTAAACTCTTTATCGTAGGCCAGAACGTTCCATTCTTGACGTCGATTCCGAGCCTTACGCACCTTTGAAGTAAACCAGGAAAAAATATACAGTTGATACAAATGAAAGTTTTCTCTACAAATCTAGTCTGTTACATCCATTCATCATCTTAACCCACTTCTTATTTTTCGGGTCACAGGGGTCACTGGTGCCCATGTCCAGCTATCACTGTGCGAGAGGTGGGGGACACCCTGGACAGGTCTCCAGTCCATCACAGAGACAAACGAGACACACAACCATTCACTCTCTCACTCACACCTAGGGACAATTTAGAGTTACCAATCAGTCTAACATGCATGTTTTTGGTCTGTGGGAGGAAACTGGAGTACCTGGAGAAAACCACACATGCATGGGGAGAACATGCAAACTCCACCCAGAATGGTCCCGAGCCGGGATATGAACCGGGACAACCACCTCATGGAGAGACGGCAACTCTACCAACTGCACCATTGTGCTGCCCCAGTCTGTTAAATCTTATATCATTTTAGTAAAAACAAAACAGGTAATGATTCAGAGGCTGGCCATATTGGATTTTTATGAAGAAATTCAATATTTAATAGGAAACTTTCTTACACCGAGATATAGCCACACACCAAAATGGCAGTTGGTACCTAACTTATTTTTCAAGTTAGCAGGTTCAAAAGATTGACAAACAGGTGGACAGATGGAGGGTATTTCCAACTTCCTTTTTCACAACAGGGGACAAAATGCATCAACAGCAGCATACTCTGTCTTTTCAGAAAATTATCACAACTGTATCAATCTTCCATAACATAAGGGACCCTGAGGAAGGCTGATATAGGAATGATTATTTTGATGCTTTTATGTCAATTAATACTTATACTCACTTTTGATGCAGCTTATCTGCTTAAAGTCAGGCCTGTGCTGCAGATGTGTTTTGGAGTAATTAAAGTTCTCTGGGGGATGCTCTAACCAGAAGATCTGGCCCAATCTTAAGGTTACAGTGACCCAGGTTTTGAAGGACATGTTTTTATGAAGCCATCGCTCTGTTACACAGACTGCTTTGATGATGGAAAAACAGATTTTAATTAAATCTGTCCTCCTGGCAACCATCAAACTTGTTTTTCACTGCTCTCACGCGATCCGGTCAGGGAAAAGGTATAAAGGAGGTGTGACAGGCAAGGGAATTTTTGGGAAGTCTTGTGTAGACCAGCGCGTGCGGTGCCATGCAGTTGATGATGGGATTCTTCTTCACCTGGGTCGAAAACGACTTCCCGGCCAGTGTCACGGTGAGAAGTTCTTTCATATCATTTTGTGTGTTAAGAGTGTACGAGTGTACATGACTTTTGCTTGGCTGTTTTTCTGTGGCAGGTTAATAAATGACACTTATTATTCCTAGCAGTAACAGTCTCTGTGTTTTATTTTTCCCTCGTCTGAATATCTTGTGCCGATCGTTCACGAACCCTTTTGATAAAGAATTTCATAATACAAAGGCTTTCCACTTTTATTTCATGAACAGCTTTAATGTACTGACATTAGATTGTGAACTACTTGCACAGTTGTTAGAATGATCTGGAACACCACTGGACTCACTAAAACACAACACTGCCTTGTTGTACCTCCAACCCTAAATTTCAAGTGACTCTTTTGCCCCTTAATTTTAGGTCACATAGACACCACTTTACGATGGCAGTATACCAATATTTGCAAATACTTTTTTTTTAAACAAATACATTTTATTTGATTTTTTTGCCAATATTTCAATATAACATTTTCATCTGTGAATGATTTCTGTCATATGGACTGGAGGCATGTTTTTATGGTTGTATGTCACTAATAAAACTAACACAAGACAAATATGTTTACTGACCACAAAAAGTTTGCTGTTGTCAACCACATGTCATTAAGCATGCCTGGCATTAAGTACTTAGACTTATATGAATCAATATACTGTATATTTATTGGCAAATTTCAACCAGAAGATTTAGCTTTAGAGGTGAAATAAATTTAATTTTGAGTTTTGTGGTTCCTTCAGTCTACAGTCTTTCTTCATTGAGAAGGGGTAGAGACAGGGCAGCCGACCCGAGACCCAAAAACCCCAGGTTCGATCCCCAGTCATTGCACATCTTGTGGTGTCTCTGAGCAGCACACCCTATCCCCAATTACTCCCGGGGTGCATTCAATAGCTGCCCACTGCTCCACCTGGGGGTGGATGGGTTAAATGCAGAAAGCCAATTTCGCCATTGTATGGAACATACAATGATGACAACACATACACATTATTATTGTTCTCTTCCCCAGGTTCCGTACTACCTTGGATGGTTATGTTCTCATCTTAGTTTTACAGCTTGTTATCATTCTACTTTGTACAACACCAACTATAAAATCTTCAATGAATACATTAAACACAAGCCTAACTGGACTGATTTCCACATCTGCTATGTAAACATTACCTAGAGTTGTAATACTCAACCTGTTGTTGGTCATCGTTTTGGTCTGCTTTTGGGGCTTGCACAATTTGTGTTAAAAATATTTCATAAATTTTATGAAAATGTACTTAATTGCATTGCCTTTGCTTTAAATGTTCATGCAGTGTCAGCATTTTGCGTCATTTGTTTGCCAACATGTTCAGGGACCACCTTCATTACAATAGATTTTAAGATTACTAATAAACCCTGAGGTATTGATCTTCGTATGAGAGTTAGATGCTGATACCATACATGTTTTAGAAGTCTGTGGATAACTGACCTTTTTCACTTCTCTGGTTGGGTCTTCAACCTGTCTCTGCTGCTCCTATGGGAGACAGATGTACACAAACAGGAGGGGAGAGACATTAAGTCATTGATAAATGATTTTTCTGAAGCAGAGGAAAAAAGAACTGGACCCCTTTACCAATTATTTCACCATGTGCTAACATCACACAGCCCCAAACACCCCCACACACTGGTATACCCACTATTTAGTGACATAAACTAGCGCATGATGAAACAACAAAGCCAGAAATTTGTGGAAACACAAAACAGCAACCAAACCAAACACATGGGGAAGAAGCTTGCAAGCTAACGTGACACTACACACAGACACAAACACAAGGAAGTGAACATGTGTGTATGTAACTTTGTCTTTTCTTTGCACATTAAATACAGTTTTATTGTTTCAATGTTTTCTCTGTGTGCATTTCCCCAGACATCCTTTTTGATAAGTGGCTGAGTGATGAGTGTTCATGGGATGTGTGGTGAGAAGGTGAAGGGCAGGAAGGGGCAAGTTAGGGGTCTGGATCGTCTTACAGAGATGGACAGGGGGCTCCTGGGTGGGGCCTGTCTGGAGTGGGGCCTGTCAGGGTGGGCCGGACAGCCCTATGGAAACATGGGAGAAAAACATGCTTGTGCGTTAGACTGAGCAGAGGAAGAGTAGAGAGGAAGGGGTGGTATAACTTTAAAAGGCCAGGCGGCTATAGACCTTATTCAGCTTAAGCCAGAGAATCACATGGATCTGTTGATTCCTCATGTACAGCAAGCTTCCTTTGGTAGTTGTATGAGATGATTTACGCTAAAATGTTCCCCTACAATCACTTAAAAAGTTAATGCTCATAGTCAAGACCCAAAACAGCTACCACTACCGATTGAATGGTTTAGGGAGGTCCTCAGAGAGGATCTTCTGGAGTCAGCTTTGTACCTCCACCCTTGGACTGCTGAGATGATAAAACTTGGCTATCAAGATGGAAGATAGGTAGCAGCAAGATTTCTTGCACAGTCTTGTGGCTTCTCCCCTCTCATCTCTCTCTGGGACTCCTGAGTGGAGTGAGCCTTTAACTTGTCTCTTGATCTCCAGCCCAACAACAGATTGCCGTATGAATTCGGGCCCTCCCTCATGTTGCCTGAATCAAACTCCTGTCAAGACCTAGCTACAAACTGAATGCACCTTTGCTTATAAGATGAAGGGTGCACAAACTTCATAACGCTATTTCTGGTGCAGTTTGATGGTCTCTGAGTTTTCCTGAGAAATGCTACATCACAAACAATGTGTATTAATACTATGCTAGATGCACTTAGCTGTACGCAGTATGTGGCAAACTGCCATATAAACTGTCTCAACAACATCGCGGCACCGGTTCTACCAGATCCTAAAGAGAAAGGAAGTAGGAGACTATGAGTCAATAAAGGTCAACAAAGGAAGATTAGCACCATCTAGTGTTCAAACCTAGTATTAATTTCTGAAGTGAAATTAAATGTTTTGTAGTTTTTTTTTTTATTTATTTCTCAAAGATTCCAAACAACACGGAAGAAAAAAAAAACAAAAAAACAAAGCAGCTTTAAAATTCAACAGTAACAAGCACAAAGCAGCAAACACATACAGCAGCAGCGGATCGGGGATTTAGAGCGTTGAAGTATTTTTAATTGACTGAATCAAAAGAGAATACCTCTGAATATCAGCTCTGGATAAGTCTGTTCTTCAGGCTAAGCTTCAGCTAATTACTCTGGACGAAAATGTTTGCATGGGACTCGTTAAATGACCCACAAAGGTACAAAGTGATGTCCAACTTAGTAAACTATTCATCTGCTGTTTCTAAATACCGTAACAACAGTGCTTAACCATGTATGATGCACTGTTTAATAGCGGATGGGTGTAATATTAACTACTGATAACTAAAACTGGAGTTAACACATGCTTGTTCATGTTCTATATATACAGTTTACTTATAGTACTCATGCTGGTTTTTAAACAGAGTAATACAATCTGATTTCTTACTTCTTTAGCCTAGAGCAGTGGTCCTCAATTTAAATTCAGCAAGGTCTGTGTCAAGAAATGTTTTGCTAGTAAAGGTCTAGAATATATACAGTAGTCCCTCGATTATCGTGGGGGTTATGTTCCAGACACCAATGTGATAGGTGAAAAAGCACGAAGTAGGAACGCTATATTTGTTTTAGTATTTATATATATTAAGGCTTTGAAAACCCTTCCCACACTCTTGCAATGTTCTTAATGTTTTAAACTCTAAACACTCTAAAAGAGCACAGCGAAAGAGAGCAGACAGACTGATGCTATGGTTACTGAGCCAATCAGAGCCTGGGAGCGGACTGGCCATCGGAAGCACCAGTTTGGGAAATGTCTCGACTTAGTTGGGGTTGGGACAGATTGGCTCGGGTTAAGGCTCGGTTCAGGTTGTGCTTGTTTATTTTAAATAAACAATCCATGCCGCTCACTCTGATATCCGCCTCAATGAAGCTTACAGCTCGCAGACAGATCCCACCCCTGCCCCTCCTTTCTTGTTCTGAAGCTCACAGCTTGCACACAGACCCCACCCCCCTCCTATCTCTTTCTGGGGCTGACAGCCTCAGAAAGAGTGTACAAAATCATTTGGCTTCTAAAGACAGTGTTCTTTCATTTGTGGGTTAAGTGCACTATACACTAGATTGAAGAAGTTTTCCTGTGCAATCAGTACTTTTCACAGAATCATGTAAAGTATCATTGACAGAAGGTCATAATAATTCAGTACAGTCTTATGCAGACTTATAATGTAATACTACCTACAACATTTAGCGTTTGCAAATGGCTTAGATTTAGAAGACATGAATTCAAGACCTGCATATGTGGTATATTTTTACTATTCCTAACCAATCTCACCTAAACACAAACCTCTATTCTATTTGACATCTAAAACTAGATAAAGACATTTAGAAAACTTTTACTTGCAGCCCAAATAAGAATCTCAATTAATCTCTTTCTAACCCCTCTATCTATCTATCTATCTATCTATCTATCTATCTATCTATCTATCTATCTATCTATCTATCTATCTATCTATCCATCTATCCATCTATCCATCTATCCATCTATCTATCTGTCTATCTATCTATCTATCCAATACATATATATACACACACACGTATAGTGCTATGTATATATTCTTTCTGTGTTCAAAAAAACAAACAAAAGAGAAAAACATGTTTTAAAACATGTATGTTCTGTCACTAGATGTCAAAATGTCCATGTTATTGTCATTTCAAAATACAGACAAAAACACATTTAGCTTGGCTAAAGATTGAATTTTGATTCTAGAAAGACTTTTTGTTGTAATCTTTGTTTTTTTTTTTTCTTTCACAAAAACGTCTTATGCACAAGATGTGCAAAAACAGTAAAAAAAAAAAAAAAGGCTGTTTTTAAAAATCCTTGAAGTACGTATTGTAGTACGGACCTGTGGCCTAACGTTATGGTATTAGAAGTTGTATTTGATCAGAGCCCCCAGCTGCTGCTGTAGTAACTACCAAAGGCACAACAGAGCAAAGCTAAATGGTGAATAGAGTAAGATAAAAATGCATCAACTGAAACAATAGCAGAACATGATAAAGCTAGGCTGATAACAAAATAAAAACATTTGCAAAAGAAGCCAAAGATGAATTTGTTGTACTTTTCGGACATACTTTATATTTTCTAGAGCCACACTCGACGCACAAACTAAACATTCATGACCTCGCTGGCATGCACAAATACCCGTCTGTGTGCAAATTCAGCAGCGCACAGTAGCAGACGCCTACCTTCTGCCGCCTCTTCTCTTTGCGTTTGTCCTCGGTGGCCTGCAGCATCTTCTCCTTCCACAGGTTGAAGAAGTAGGAGGGGTCAGTGTAGAACTTCAGCGCATCCTTCTTGTCATCCCTGCAGAGAAGAGTGGAGGAGCAGAGGTGAAACAATTCAAAAGGACCAAAAATATCTTGATTGGACAGGTAGATTTCCAATAAAAGGCAAGCATTCTTCACCTGTAAGAGGTGAGGATGTTGAGTGGTGGGGGCTTGTCGCAGCGGTGGTACATCTCCACGACCGGGTTGGGCACAGAGGTTCTGGACACAACCTGCTGGTCCTGAATGGTGCTGCTCTTAAAGGCCTTTCTCATGTTGATGTCCTGCAAGGAGACTGGAAGCAGAAGCAGAGTCTCGAACAGTTTACTCCAAACAGAGCAGAACCATACACTGTTTAGAAAAGTGTTGGTAAGATTTAACCTTTGATTGAAAATAGTTTAATCTGCAGGAGTGTGTGTGTTTGCAGTCACAGCCCCCTTCTACCTGTGCAGCGTTTGATTTGCCTTGCTCCTGTCCCAAATGAATAATCCACAGAACTAGCACCTGATGCAATTTTCATTCAGTCACATCTGCAAAGAGGCTACAAATACTCTGTTTCTGTTTTTCTCTATTCTTTCCCTGGCCAACTCAATCTTTCTCTCAAAGCATTTATGTTTTTTTTCTGTTCATCCCCTGATATCTTGCTAATTCTTATTTTACTATTCATTTACTCTTCACTTTAGTCACATATTTACATACAATTTAAATACAATTATAACAAACTTAAATGGAAAATTAGAGTTTACTACTATGGTTGTAACCAGTCTGGTGCTATATACCAGTTAGTCTTCATGTAGCTGATATAATACGGTATTAGCCAGAGTAATTGAATTTATTCATATTTCTTTTCTAAACAGTCTTTCTCCTTCCATGTTATTTTTCTGTTCTCACTTTTGCACCTCACATCCCTCCTTTATCCCCCTTTCATTTTTTCAATGTCACTAAAGCCTTTAACTCTTTCATTTGTCAAAACAAGAAACAATTAGTGCAAAATTAATTCTTGATACAATAAAAATTAAGAGAAATAGCATTTCCTGTGAAAATGCAGTGTGAATGCTTATAGCAGAAGAACTTGCAGAGACACATCTGAAATTAGCTAAAATCATGCTGAAATGTAGCTGAAATGGAAGAACAAACCTAAATTAGCAGAAGAAAGCTCAAGGAATATATGTTTGCCCAATTAGGCTAAAAGAAGCAGAAATTAGCAAAAAATGTGGAATTAGCTAAAAAAAATTCTAAAATTAAAATAAAACAGCTAAATGGTAGCTGAAATAACAGCAAAAGCTTAGCTGAAAAAGCTGAAATGAGCATAACAAGCTGAAATTAGTAGAAATAAGTTAATTAGGCTGAAAGTAGCAGAAATTACCAAGAAAAATTTGAAATTATTTGAAAACAGCTGGAATTAGCTAAACATTTTCTAAAAAAAGTAGATGAAAAGGTGGAACAAGCTTAAATTAGCATAAGAAAGCAGAAATAACATTTGCCCAATTAGGCTGAAAGAAGCAGAAATGATCTAAAAAATGAGGAATAGGCTGAAAAAGCTAAAATTAGCAAAAGAACAGCTAAAAAGTATCTGAAACAGCAGAAAATGCTTAAACTGGCTGAAAAAAGCTAGAATGAGCATAACAAGATGAAATTAGCAGAAAAAAAGTTAATTAGGCTGGAAGTGGCAGAAATTACTAAGGATTTTTTTAATTTGTGTGAAAACAGCTGGAATTAGCTAACAAATCTAAAAAAGGTAGCTGAAAGGGTTGAACAAGCTTAAATTAGCAGAAGAAAGCTGAAAGAACATTTGCCCAATTAGGCTGAAAGAAGCATAAATTAGCACAAAATGTAGAAATTAACTGAAAAAAGTTGAAATTAGCAAAAAAACAAACAAACAAACAAACAAAAAAACACACAGCTGAAAAGTAGCTAAAAGGCAGAATGAAGATTAAGTTACCAGAAGGAAGTGGAGAGAGCACATTTTTGCTGAATTAGGTTGAAAAAACTTGAAATGAGTGCAATGTGGAATTAGCTGAAAAAGCTAAAATTAGCATAAAACAGCTAAATAGTAGCTGAAGTAGCAGAAAAAGCTGAAACTTGTATAAATAAGTTGAAAGAAGTATAACAAGCTGAAATTGGCAGCGAGAAATTAGAAGAACAAAAATGTTGTAGTTAGCAGAACGAATCTGAAAGGAGCACAAAACAGCTGAACAAACAGCTGAAATTAGCTGAACATGGCTTAAAAAAGTTAAAATTTGCACAAGGAAGCCAAAAGAAGCTGAAGCAGAACAAAATGTGAAAGGAGCAGTAAAAGGTTGTAAATAGATCTAAAGAGTTGAAGGATAGAAAATGAGCTCAATTCATTTTATGTGAGAAAAAAAATTACAGAAAAGGATAAATATTTCAAGAAGCTAAAGCTGTACCAATCATAGCACCCTTCTCCTGAACGAGCTGAACATTTTGATTTATGATTTGTTGAAATAGGTAAAAACTGTGGAACGAGAAAGATGCTGAAAAACATACTGAAGAAAAATGGATCAGAACAGAGTGAATGCTTCATAAACATTCACACAGTAACATAATTCCAACATGACAGATGAGAGTCCTAGTAGATTTATAAAAGAAAGCAATCGTGATACGAGATCTTCCTGATAGTAATGAGATGAAAGCAAGACGGTGAGGAGGAAGAGGAGTGGGAGAAGGAAGGAAAGAAAAGACAATAGTCTGCTGAGCTTTGTCTTTTCTCCGTCTGCGCTGCTCTGATTCTGACTGTCTGAGGTTGCTGCACTGCAGAATGACTAGGCAATATCACCAAGGAAGAAAAAAAACTGACAGAAGAGGACAAAGAGTGAGAAATATGTAAAAAAAAAAAAAAATAAAATAGATACAAAAGAATAATCTAAAGGGTTAAAAAAAACTAAAGATATACTGAAAGAAGGAGAATAAAACAATAAAATGCCTTTTATTTTAAAAATAAAGTCAGAAAAGGAACAAAAGGCATAAAATGGGAAGAAATCTGCCTGACTGTGTGTGTGTGTGTGTGTGTTTGTAAAGGATAATCAATTACTAAATTAGGAGCATTGACCTTCAGAGGCAATAAAATGCTTAATGGTATAGATTATGACACACTAGAACCAACCACAGGACCACTTTCACACAAGCAACACTCATGGGTAATACTGTGGCTTTCTATAGAGTAATACATCTAGGACTGCCTTTATTAAACCAATATAATAAGAAAAAAAGCACATAATTTCAGATAAAGTAAAACGGGTTGTTTACGTGCACTGAACCTGCAAACATCTTGCTTTGAGGAGTCGAAATGACATTTAACATTTTGGCCAAGTGTTCGTTTCTCCTCTATTAGAGATACTCTCTTGTTCTATTCTCATTTAAAAAAAATCACAGTACTGCAGTTTATAGTAACAAATGTAAAATCTGTTTCCTAAATGTTAAACGTGTAAATATGTTTAATAGTGTTTGTATTGTGTAAAATGCACATAGTTACCATACAGGCAGTTATTGCTGTACAACATTCCCGCTTTCATAAAAACTAGCTCAAAGTCATCTGACAGCTAAAGTTGTGGCTGAGTGATTTTATAGTGTTGGACCCACAAAATGCAGCTGGATGCTCACCCCCTCACCCCCCTTCCCTGTCCACAAACTCACCTTCCTCCACAGTGGAGTCAAGCTGGGTGACTTTCACAGCCAGTTGGTCCACTCTCTCCTGCAGGCTGCTCATCCTCAGGTAGAAGCTGTTGGCTTCATTAAACAGTTCTCCAAAAATGTCCTCTGCATGGCGACCTGGACACCAGCACAAACACACCAACGTCTGCACTTCAGTTCGATACAATAATAAAACATCTGCCGTACCACAAAGTACATTCACAGCTGTTAGCTTAGCGCTGCTTCACAAACAATCCCTAAATCAGTTAAAAAGTAGCACCAATGGAAGTTTTCAAAGAACTGAATGTGAACTTCCATTTGTTTCAAAATATATTTCAAACTATGATTTAGTAAATACGAGCTATGTGAGTAAAATTAGTTCTCTGCATTTAACCCATCGCACCTGGATACACCCAGGAGGAGCAGTGGGCAGCTAGGTAAGCGCCCGGGGAGCAATTAGGGATTAGGTGTCTTGTTCAGAGACAACATGGCATGTGGGAATGGCTGGGAATCGAACCTGGGACTTTCGGGTCCCAAGCTGGCTGCCCTACCTCTCCCCTACTAGCTGTAATACAGTAAAAGTGTATCCTCAAGTACCTTAAACAGTAACAACACTGTGTTTCATTATGTTAGGGTTTACAGCAAAGAATAAAAGTAAATAAAATAAGTTGTCACTGAGTGAAGAGGAGGAACTGGAAATGCACTCCAACTGTCCATGCATGTTGTGAGTATAACAACTTGAAAAATAAGCGAGGTGCAGACTTGGGTTTTGGTGTGTGGCTGCATCTAGGAGCAAGAAAGGTAATCTTTGAAGATTGGGCTGTCACTTCAAAATCCAAGAGGATTACTTTTTCGTTTTCTTTTTTCTTCTTTCGGTTTGTTGCTCTTCAGGAGTCTCCACAGCGAGTCATCCTCCTCCATCTCACTCCGTCCTCTGCATCCTCTGTCCTCGCTCCAACTACTTCCATGTCCCCTCTGCATCCATATATCTCCTCTTTGTCTTTTTACTGGCAGCTTCAGGACCACCCCCACTCCATCTCTCTTTCTATCCACACCATGGTAACACAATTTAAACCCTGTTCCAATGCTGCGAGCCTTGCTGCCTTTCCACTTGGTCTCTTGGACACATGCGATATCTACCTTCCTTCTCTGCATCATGCCAGCCAGCTCTCTACCTTTGCCTGCCATTGTCCCCACATTCAGACCTGCCACCCTCAGTCCTCCATTCTTGACTTTCTTCTTCTCCCTCTGTCTCTTGACATGTTTTCCTTCTTGTGGTCCTCAACTGAGAGTAGTTCAATTTCTTCCGGCAACCTGTTAGTCAACAGCACCGGTGATGGTTATTGTTAACCCACATTTTGACCGGTCCGTTATGGTGTCGCTTATATGAACTCGCATATTAGCTTTAGCAGGAGTGTTTTATAATGGAGGCCCTTCCTGACACAACCCTCACCTTTTACCTGAGCTTGGGACGGGCATAAGAGTTGCACTGGCTTGTGCTCCCTAGTGGCTGGTTTAATCCAAGATGGCTACTTTCTTATGTGTATGTGTGAAAACCAGCCACACCTGTTGTTTGAGAAAACTAAGGTTTTTAGTTTTTATATTGCCTAAAAGTATAGTTTCCTCAAATGATTGGTGCGACCCCTGGCTCTAACGTTGCGCCTGGTGGTGGATAAAATAGTTCCCTTCACACAGAATCTGCCACTCTTTGCTGTCTTGGACAAGCAAAAACCACACAAACAGAAATAAAAAAACCTACCTATGAATATCTTGCACCAAACAAATTAAGGTTTACTTGCATTTCCTAATTCCATTCCATAAAAACACTCATCACGAAAACTACAAACACTCACTATTCAAATCCCTCAGCAATGGAGGCATCAGTGTACTGCTTGTTTACTTCTGTTCATACTGAGCAGCTGTAATGCTATAATGTAGAAAACAATACGATGTATAAAGCAGAAAGCTCACTGCTGAGCTATTCAAAGATTGCTAAACATGTCTGTTTTTGAAAGATTTAATAATTTTGCGCATACTTTTTGTGTCATTTGTTGAAGGTGAATAAGACTTATTTTAAAGAGTTTTGGTGTTTTTAAAATAAGACCTGTTTGTGAGCGGCCATTGTTCTTAGAGTAGTAAAAATTTGCTTTAATAACTGACCTCGAACCATTCCTTTGTGTTGCTATAGTTTATTGAATTGTATTATACTGAATCATTTTGTTTCGAATCAAAACGTAATGATTTTAATTAATTGTATCACAATTATCAGCTAAATTGTACTGAATTGGTTTTTGCTGCTCTTGTTAAGGAATCAAATCATTGGCAGTGTATCAAAATAGATTTTCTATAGATCATAGGTGCACAACATTACTGAACAAAGGTCCATCATCAAAAATTAGAATTAGAAACAAAACAGAAAAAGGTAAATTGTTGGCTCGCTGTAAAAGTATGATGTTTATTATTCGTATGGCATCCACATTTCTGAATATTGGTTAATCCGGTTCCTTAGCCTTCCCCACCTGTCGTCTGTCTAAACAGACTGAAAACTAAAATGACCTTTCTGTTTGTGGGAAATCACGAGAGGCAAACATTAAAAAATGCTGCCTGTCTCATTAACTCTGTCACCAGCTTACATACTTAGATTAGTATATTAGCTACAGTCTCATTGACTCTAAATGTCTTTTTTGTCCTGTTCTTTTACATCATTCTACATCATACACCCAACTGGTCTAACAGATGGAGTAGAGGCACAGAGCCTCCACTCATCCTGAACGAGCTGTCGCTGAATTTAATTTAGCCGATAACTGTTTATCACATCTGAAAAGCTTTTTATCCCCATCACGTTAACATGGAAGGATCTCACTTCTGGTTTGCTTTGAATACTTTTCTGGCTTTTAGATGAAATATGCAGATTTCTGAGTGCGGCATTAGAAGAATACGTAAATCTGTACAGCAAAATTTCATCTGAAAACATGTAAACCTTAATGATAAGAGTTACAACAACCATGGCAAGAAGTTATTTAACACAAAAACGATCAAAAATACTGCTGTAGTGTCTATGCCAGGCCTGTGGGTGGTGCTGTAATGCTGCCACACAACACACCAAAAACAGGAAACAAGACATGGAGCACGCATTTAAAGTTTGCCACTGTTGCCAAATATACAGTAATTATTTTAGTTTTAGATTCTACACAATATATGATAAGTAGTTTTAAAAAAGCCAAATTTTATGATATATCTGGTACTTCTTTACTTGTAGAAAAACTTGGTTTTATTTATGAAAACACCCACATATCATCAGAAAATCTACATGCCCACCAAGTGCAACCCCACTCCTCTTCTGTGCACATTGGCCAGTCACAACACATAACTCCCTCTCCCCCATGCTGACCGTGAAAGTGCATACACCTCCTGTCCCCATAAACCACCACTAAAGTGCACTCTCACAGTAGTTTTGGTCATAATATGACAGTTGTAAAGTGATAGTTTGATGGTCCCTCATATTCTTTTTGTCAACCCTGAAGCATGCACATGACAAGAACGTGAGAAAAACCAAAACCTTTATGGGGACTCAGCAAATTGGAACTTCTACTTTGTGTCACATTAAAGTACAAGACCATTAAAGTGCAGGACGATATTAACTGGATGCAGTTACAGTTAGAATTACAGCGCCCTGAGACAATTTCTCCTGTGACTTGGCACTATATGGTAAATGGACTGTACTTATATAGCGCCTTTCTATCTGATCAAGACACTCAAAGCTCTTTACACTACAATCTGTGCCTCATTTACCCATCCATACAGCACTCTACTAGATCGGGGGTTCAGTCTTGGTCATGGAGGACCACTATTCTGCATGTTTGGAGGTTTTGTTTGCTCCAAAATACCTGATTTGAATTACTGGGTGATCACAGAACATAAGGAGATAATTTAACTATTGAATTGCCGTAATTTCTGGACTACAAGACGCTACTTTTTTCACACGCTTTGAACACCACGACTTGTATAATGCTGCGGCTAATTTATGGATTTTATTTTTTGACGAGCTAAGGAGCGTCATGCCACCAAAACATTTAGTCTCATCACACCAGGGTGCTCATATAACTGCCCTGTCTCTCTTGGGGGGTGGGTCCTCGTGACTCAATGAGACTAAGCGAAGTTTATCTTTTGGAGCAATTATTGCAAAATAAAATGTTGTCAGCAATAATTTTAAATGTAATTCCTGGAAATGATCTCAAGACCAAACAATTGAGTGCTGTACAATCCACCGTGGTGTCCCAACTCCAACTTTAGAACCACTGCTTTGAGTGATAAGGACTATTTTCTTCTTATGAGTTTCTTTTGGAATCCTCTAAACATGGGCTCAGTTTTAATAACACTGAGCAGTCGTGGCAGAGAAAAAATAAATACTAGTTTATTGTTAATGTTAGACTTATGAGATGACATAAAGTTTCAACAGAGGAGCTGTGATTGTGGTTTCAATCTGAATTTTTAAAGATGATATTCAACCACCTAAAGCTTTGGGTGTATCTAAGGTTCATTTAAGTTGTTCATTTTAATTAGAAACTAGGTCCAACTAAACACAGAAGCACGCTCAGTTCCCAGGAGGTTACGGAAATCTTACAAACCTCCTTGCTCCATCATTACCACCAAACCACAAATTATGAGTCACATGTTCCTCCATTTGTAAACTGGTGCTATTAAACGTTACCATGGAAACAAAGATCTTGGGACTTAAGCATAACCTAAAAATACACCACACTGTATTTTTTGCATCAGCAACTTTGCTTGGTCAAAAAAAAAAAAAACACTCTAAAAGATAATTTTAGACAAGTTTAATTATGTAGACTGGTCTAAAATGTCTCTGTGTAAACAGCTCGATGTCTGCTGCTCAAAATAACACATTTTTAAGTCATTCATGGTGTGTTTACATCAGTGAGAGATTTATTCTTGTCCTTAACAACAGTATACTCACTCAAACTGCCCAGCTGCTTGATGATGGCAGCTAGCGTGCTGTTGGTGACACACTCCAATTCACTGGTCACTCCATCAGGCAGCGCACCGCGGCACAAGTGCCGGGGCTCAATGTTTCTCTTCACCAGTGGCATGCTGCACTACTCCTGTAGAAACAAGAAAGAAAGAAAAAACAATCATATAATGGCTATTTTCTTAAAAATAAATCTTGTTCAGTGACGAGAATCCAAGCACATCCACCCAACAGTCTGCATCTGCATGACTGAATATATTTGAGTCCTTCCCGACGGCAACAAAGTCCATGCTCAATAATCCAGGTATAAAATCCAACCTTTTTCAGTCAGATCATCTGGACTGTCCAGATGATCTGACTGAAAAAGGTTGGGCTTCCCGATGGCAGCAATTCAATTAGGTCTTTGCCCCGCTTGGAGTAGTTGTTATTTCGTCAATCCAGTCAGATATAAACATTTTTTTTTTTTTCCAAATGAGGTTGATCCAAAAACTGTAGTAACAGGTATTCATATCCTTTCCACAAAACCCTACATTAGAGATTTGAACTATCCCTTTAACTACATTTCTGGCAAACAAAGAAGGCGGATGAGGAGCTGGGGATGAAAGAGTTTATGTTCTGCTGTGAATCCTGATGAAAACGGACATGCCATGTTTGCCGTGGGGAGCAGTCACTCATCAAGCTGTCTAATGCCAATGTGGCTGCTGTGAGCCAAGAATCAAATGAGCCAGAAAAAAACTTTTTAAATAGCGCTAATGTGCCAAAACTGTGGCCAAAGAAATGACATGTCTGTAAGAAAGATGGAAATAAAGACAGAAACAAAGGGCACCCTTTACTGAAAGAACATAAAAGACCAACAAGATAATTATAAATTACAGTATTTTAATAAGATTACACATGCAATGTAATATTGTACATGATATTCCTGCTAAGCCAGCTTAATTCCTGAAATTTATTCTTTCAGTCTGTGTGTTGTCATCTTAAAAGTCATGACCAACTGGAGAGATTGTAATGCAACACTCTCAAACACTGAAAAAAAAAAAAGACAAATGTTAGCTAATCTCCTCAAAACTCCTGTTTGGTTATGTTTGGTTTTATTAAAACAAATGTAGGTTGTTTATGAGGCATAGACCCACAAACAATATATTCCCTTTCATGGGAAATGGACTATACTTATAGCGCCTTTCTATCTTAGGAAGACACTCAAAGCTCTTTACACTACAATCTGTGCCCTCATTTACCCATTCATACAGCACTCTACTAGATCTCTACAAAGCTAGTTTAACAAATTATCCTAAAGAGACTAATCAGAGCTTTAACACATTCATACACCGATGGGACACACATAGGAGGCAACTAGGGGTTCAGTGTCTTGCCCAGGGACACTTGGGCATGTGAAGGCTGGTGAAGTCGAAATCCTAACTCTTGCATTGGAGGACGACTGCTCTAACCACTCAGCCACAGCCACTTTTATGGCATTTTAACTTCTGATCCAAGCTTCAGCTCTCACTCTCCATCTCCTTCCATAGTCGGGTCGTGAAGGCAACAAGCTCAGGAGAGAAACCCAGACATCCCTTTCCCCAACTACACTTTCCAGCTCATCTTAGTGGACACAGAGGCATTCTCAAGCCAGAGAAGATACACAATCACATCAGCGACTTCTGAGTCATCCCTGGGGCCTCTTACCAAAGCCCAAACAGCTTCTAAAGGGAGGCGTCCAGGAGGTTTAGATCAGGGAGGCCGTTCCTCCCTATCATCCTCTTCCAGATGACTGTCATTGCCCACATGGTAATTGAAGTCACCCAGTAGAACACTGGAATCACCAGATGGCGCCCCTTCTTAGACACCATCCAGAGACTCCCGAAAGGCTGGGTGATCTGAACAGATGTTAAGTGCACAAGTACAAATAACTGTCAGAACCACTCCTCCAGTAGCCCAGTGCCACAGAGAAACAATTATCTTCTTCACTGGGGAAAATTTCAACACTGAGAATTTCTGGTACTGCCCAACCTCCAACACAAGCTCTGGCTCCTTAACTCCCAGTGAGGTAACATTCCATATCCCTAGAGCTAGTCTATGCTGCCAAAAGTTGGCATGGCCAGGTACCCTCCCTTGTCTGCCACCTGGCATCCATTACACCCGATCTTGTTGGGTGCCCCATTCAGGTGGGGGGCCCACATGGCAGTGGTGTCATGTTCAATCTTCGAGCTTGGCCTGGCCAAGCCCCAGGTGTCAAATCTCTACCACCAAGTGTTTGCCAGTGAGCTACCCCCCAGGCTTGGCTCCAGAGAGGTACCCTGGTTTATCTTTTCCAGATGAAGTTTCCTGATGCATCTGTTGTTTGTCCATCAAGGGTTTTGGATCACTCTTAGTCTGACCCCTCCCCTGAGGCCTGTTTGTCATGGGAGACCCTATCAGCAGCTAATGACCCAGGCAACATAGCCCCCAGGATCACAGGGGTACTCAAACTCCTCCACCACATTAAGGTGGCGATTCTGTGGAAGGACTAAGGGGATTCTGCAGAGGGGTTAAGGTGGTGATTCGGCGGGGGGAGATTATGTGTTTAATAGGTGTTTAAATGAGTGTGATTTTACATTTTAAAAGGCAGACAGTCATGCAATTATCTGCTTCTCTGTGCATGTGTGTGTGTTTGTCTATTAGCAACATATTTTAAAACCATTACACAGATTATAATGAAAATTTCAACATGTACTCATTGATTACCAACTGTGTAAGGTTTGTAGTGAATTTCATTCAAGATGCCCACTACAGCTAATCAACTTTTGGGGATCAGTCATATTTGGTCAAACTGAACTACGCATATTTTTAGAATTCTGGCTGTATAAGCTACGTTTTGATAGCCAGATCATCTTGATATCATGAGCAGATCCAGTGAATGGCTTGATTTGTCTTGCTAATCGATATAACCCCTGGAAAATCGGTCGGAATTCTATTTTTTCCATACTCTTAAGAGGCTTTATTGATGTCATTTGAAAGAGGAAACTTTAAAACCACATTTGAATATAGGGATTTCCTAGTTTGAAAGAAAAATAGCTTTGCTAACATGCAAAAACTTTTGCAAAGATTTGAGTCTTTTCTGCTAAAAATCATGTTAGTTGTTGGTACTGCTAAGATAAGTGCTTCAAAACATTCTTTAAGATTTTTTTAAAAGACATTTCATTCAAGATGCCTATAAATAGTGCAATTATTTATCATATTTTGGCAAAATACAGTACACTTATAGCAAAATGTTCAACCAGTACATTTTAGTTACCTATATCTGTTTATATGATTCAGATGGATGTGGATGTGATGGGTCAAATTAGTTTTTTTTATGACAAATGCCAAGCTTTATAAATCAAACCATCTCCTATCTAATATACTGTACATCGATTTAAACTAATGGTCAAAATGTAACATCATTTAATAAAATTCCTTAATTCTTTAACAGTCCCACAAAAATGTCTAAAATGTCTGGAAAATGTATACCCAAACTAAATTAGATGTTGTTCTTGAACCCTTAAGAAGACAAGGAAAAGCTTAGTCACACTTGTAAACACTATGAATTATTTACCTGTGCTATCAAAATGACTGTACCTATAACTAGTATGTAGTTAGTACTCAGTGGATATTATTGGTTCTGGAGAGACCATAATTCAACCCAGTTTGGCAACAGAGGTGTCCATCAAAAGGGGAGGGCCTACACAACACTTTTGACACTGTGGTGTTTATTTCTGAAACTCCTTGTGGAATATAAGAGTCTATGTATTCAAATCTAAGTCAAAAGGTTAAGGAACCAAACAGTCGAGGCGTTCACTTAAATAGTTGCATATTTAACAACTCTTAGAAAAACTCAAAAACCTAAAAATGATAACAAATACATATAAAATGGGGAGGGGGAGGGGGGCAGTAAGCTGATTGTAACTGCTGCATTTTCATTTTCCGCACTGGTAATTGACTCAAATATAAACAGATTGCCTTTTTTTTTTTAAGTGGCAAGTGGAGCTTATACAACCCTAACCCTGAGTACCCAGTGAACATTTGGTTCTTCAAGGAGTGCTAATTTCATAATTAAAAAAGTTCTTGTACTACAACAATTAGAGATTAAATCCACAGAACATAAAAACTAACAACAAAACAAATTAAAAATGTTTTTGGTTTACAAATGTACAGTATAATATAGAAAAAGGGAAAATGTTATTAGGCAGCACGGTGGCGCAACTGGTAGAGCTGCTGCCTCTCAGCGAGCAGGTCCCTGGTTCAAACCCCAGTCCAGGGGCCTTTCTGGGTGGAGTTTGCATGTTCTCTCCGTGCATGCGTGGGTTTTCTCCGGGTACTCCGGTTTCCTCCCACAGTCCAAAAACATGCATGTTAGGCTGATTGGTAACTTTAAATTGTCCCTAGGTGTGAGTGAGAGAGTGAATGATTGTTTGTCTCGTTTGTCTCTATGTGGCCCTGCGATGGACTTGCGACCCGTCCAGGGTGTACCCCGCCCCTCGCACAGTGATTGCTGGACATGGGCACCAGCGACCCCCGTGACCCAAAATGGAATAAGCGGGTAAAGAAAATGGATGGATGGATGGATGGAAAATGTTATTAACTGGATAAAGATGCAGCAGCACCTTTGGTGAATTGGGTCCTGAATTTCTCTAAATCAGTGTAAACATTGAGCAAAATCTTTACATGTCCATTTGTTCAAAACAAAATAACAACAACAAAAAAACATTTATTCAATAGAATAATCGAATAAATGCAGCACGGTGGCGCAGTTGTTAGAACTGTTGTTTCTCAGTGAGAAGGTCACCAGGTCAAATCCCAGCCTGAGGCCTTTCTGGGTGGAGTTTGCATGTTCTCTCTGTGCGTCAGATTCTCCGGTTTCTTCCCACAGACCAAAAACATGCATGTTAGGCTGATTGGCAACTCTAAATTGTCCCTAGGTGTGAGTGAGAGAGTGAATGGTTGTTTGTCTCGTTTGTCTCTATGTGGCCCTGTGATGGACTGGAGACCTGTCCAGGGTGTCCCCCGCCTCTCACACAGTGATGGCTGGATATGGGCACTAGTGACCCCGTGACCCTAAAAGAAAGAAACGGGTAAATACAATGAATTACTGGGTAAACAAACTACCTAACATTGTTCTGCGTGTCTCAAAATGTGATCAACTCTTCAGTTGCTGTAAATAATCTAAGACTCTTACTGTTTAATAATGCATCTATTCTCCACCTCCTCCTTATTGTTCTTCATCTCTTCAATGTTTGCGCTTCACTTCTTATTTGTGTCGTCTGTCTGTGTCCTTCCCCAGTCGCTCTTTTTGCACCCTCCTGCATGTGCTCTCCTTCATCCACGTCTGGTCCCATTAATAAATCAGTAGGGATGAATATCTTACACTCTGACTATAACAGCGTGTGGCTTTTCCCCATTTCTGTGCAGACCTGAGAGTGTGTGGTTTTTGTTTCCCTATCGTAAAATCACTGTGCTCATACACGTGCACTGACTGCTTTTTGACCCAGAGGCACTCCTCACATGAGTGGATAAGAGAGAGCTGCAGGGCAAAACGACACAAGTCTGGTGCAACACACCACCCTTAGCAAGACAAAGCAATAAAAGGTAAAAACTGCTCATCTTCCTGTACATTTGAAATGTTCTTATGGATTTTGTACAAGTGAATCATTGTTTAATGTAAAAAAAAGCTTTGTAATAAAGTTTTGGTGAGGATGGATACGAGTTACAAGATGCAAGAAAACATGCGGGTCTTTATTTAATGAAGGTGTGAAGCTTCTTGGAGAATACAACAGTTGCTTTCACAAATTAAACTGTCTGCTTAGTGTCACTGTTTAGTTTTGTAGTGCAACATAATCATATTGAAATTATTTCTAAAACAGGTGAGGCTTTTTCCCTCCTGATAAAGACAAGCGAGATTGAGCAGTTTGTTATCTAACTACAGTTTACAAACTTAATGCTGAACAATATGATCAGAATTTGGTGCAAATATGGATGGCAATACTGTATTTTCTGCCGTAAACGTTGCACCGCCCTATAAGTCGCATCAGTCCAAATATGTCTAATAAAGTGGAACAATCCATAAATACATTGCTTCGCCATATACGTTGCATCTATTATGCGTCACTGCTGACACGTTGCGTTTGTTACGCATCACCGCTGACAACCCGGAAATGTGGGCCGGTGTTGTGCCAAAAATTGATTGGCTGCCAAATGGCGGCCGCAAGAACGTGCATGGGAGGACTTTAACGAAAATTTAACAGGATTAACACTTAAAAACAATTATTCGTTTGCTCGAAATTATAGTAAAGGTGTGTCTCAGTCTAACGTTTGCTTAATAAATGCACTTTGACGGTCAAATCAGCTGCATTTCAAAAGCCGATACGCAGAAGTAAGCACGTGCACGGACGAGTCGCTATGCAAATTTAACAAGTTAACCACCTAAAAACAATTATTTGTTTTCTCGACTTTATAGCAAAGGTGTGTCTCAGTTGAACTTTTACTTAATAAAAGGACTTTATTGGTCAAATCAGCTGTATTTCAAAAGTATTCGCTGCCTCGGTGCTCCGGGAGCGCGCAGAGGGAGGAAATCAGGAAGGAGGAATGCTGCGCGTTTCTTTGAAATTTAACAAGATAAGCACCTAAAATAATTATTTGTTTGCTCAACATTTTAGAAAAGGTGTGTCTCAGTTGAACTTTTACTTAATAAATGCACTTCAATGGTCAAATTAGCTGCATTTCACCGGGGCGGCGCAGCAAAATGAAGCTGATTTGACGGTTGCTCCAGGCAAGCTGGACGAAGGTGGGAGTTTATGGCAAGCCAATTGTGTCATTAATAGCTGGTGAAGATTCTCTGTCATCCAGGACATGGTTCAAAAAA